TATGATCAAGAGCCAAGGATACTGAAGGAAGAAGTCCAAGGTATATTGAAGGAATTGGCAAAGACCAAGGCACCAGGAATTGATGGAATAAAAATGGAAATCTTTCAACAAACTGATGCAATGGAGTCATTCACTCATCTATGTCATGAAATTTGGAAAACCACCACCTGGCCAACAAGACTGGAAGATATTCGTATTTATGCCCATTCCAAACACAGGGGACCCAATGGAATACAGAAATCATCGGACAATATTATTAATATCCCATGATAGTAAAGTCTTACTAAAGATAATACAAAAACAGCTGCAATCATACACTGACAGAGAACTTCCAGATGTTCAAGCCGTATTCAGATGAGGACGTGGAACGAGGGATATCATTGCTGATGTCTGATGGATCTTGACTGAAAGCAGAGAATATAAGAAAGATGTTTACCTTGTGCTTTATTGACTACGCAAAGGCTTCTGAATGTGTGGGTCATGACAAGCTATGGACAACATTGCAGAGAATGAATATTCAGGAATACTTAATTGTGTTCATGAGGAACCTGTGTGTAGACCAAGATGCAGTTCTTAGAGCAGAACAAGGGAACACCAAATGGTTTAAAATTAGGAAAGATGTGTGCCAGGGTTGTATTCTTTCACCATACTTATTTAATCTGTATGCGGAGCAAATAATCTGAGAAGCTGGATTTATGAAGAAAAACATGGCATCAGGATAGGAGGAAGACTCATTAACCTGCGACATGCAGATGATACAACCTTGCTTGCTGAAAGTGAAGAAGACTTAAAACATTTATTGATGAAGATCAAAGAGCACAGCCTTCGATATGGGTTGCATCTCAATGTAAAGAAAACAAAAATCCTCACCATTGGCCCAATAAACAACATCCCTATAAATGGAGAAAAGATTGAAGTTGTCAAAGACTTCATTTTGCTTGGATCAACCATCCACACTCATGGAAACAGCAGTCAAGAAATGAAACAATGTATTGCATTAGGCAAATCTGATGCACAAGACCTTTTTTAAAGTGTTGAAGAGCCAAGATGTCAGTTTGAGGACTAATGTGCAACTGACCCAAACCATGGTGTTTGCAATGACCTCATATGCATGTGAAAGTTGGACCATGAATAAGGAAGACCGTAGAAGAATTGATGCATTTGATTTGTGGTGTTGGAAGAGAACATTGAAAGTACCATGAACTGCCAAAGAACAAACCAATCTGTGTTGGAAGAAGTACAGCCAGAATGCTCCTTGGAAGCCAGGATGACTGGACTTTGTCTCTTTCTTTTGACATAGTATCAGGAGGTATCAGTCCCTGGAGAAGGATATCATGTTTGGAAAAGTGGAGGGTCAAAGAAAAAGAGGAAGACCCCTCCCCTCCTCCCCCAACGAGATGGACTGACATAGTGGCTGCATCAGTGGGCTCAAACATGGCAATAGTTTTGAGGTTGGTGCAGGACTGGGCAGTGTTTCATTCTGTTATGAATAGAGTTACTATGAGTTGGTACTGACTCGATGGCACCTAACAACAACAATAGTAATAAAAATCTATCACTACTTGAACGATCAACAGATCTAACTATGTGGAGAGATGGGCAGGTTTGGGGGTACACTCTCCTGACCCTGCCCATGCTCATTGGTCACTCACCTTTTTTCCTCCTTTCCTTGGTGCTTTGGCGGGTGATTCCTTTTCCCTGTCCACTGCAAGCTTTAGGTTTTTTAGTTCCTGTCTCATCAACTCGTCAACCTAAGTAAGCACAAAACAGACCCCAGGTGTCAGTGACTTTCAGGCCTCATGCTTTCTGTGCAAAGTTTAAAACCAACTTAAGTTCTGGGATAATGTCCTTCACAGAAAACTGCAGCCAACTAAATAGGCAGCACGTGCCTGCAAATGCTGACTTGCTACAATGCCCACGTGGGAGTACCTGTACTCGGATCTCAGACTCTAGTTCTTTCCGCTTCTCCTCTTTGATCAGTTCTGGATCATAGTTCTGGTGGAAATTCCAAGACTCATCTTTGTCCTTCCAGATATCTGTATACCAGAAAGATAACGGAAAAGAAAAAGAAGGGAGACATTCAACACATATATTAGTAAAGCAATCCAAGTATGGCGAGGGTGTGCCGGCTACTAACACGGGGTCCTCTTGGTCCTACTCTGGTGTTAGAGCTATCCTACAAAGAGAAGAGGCAGAGAGACAGAGACAGAGGGAAGACAGCTTCATGGAGAGGGAGGCAGAGACGGGAACGGCTGCCCCCATCAAGGAAGATGAGGAGCCAGCAAAAGCTGTGAGGGGAGTAAGGACGGATGGAGCAGCTCCCGCAGAGCTCTGGGAGACAGCATGGCCCTGCCCTGCACACCTTGGAGACAGTACATGCCTTTGCTCTAGTGCACTTCGCAGATAAAACTGTGGTTTGCATGAATGGGAGGTCAGTGGCCACGCTGTGTCCCACAGAGCCTGAGGCACCATGTCCCCCACCCTGTGTGTCTGCGTCCCACTGTGGTCATTCTCGCCACATCTGAAACGTCTTCCTCTTGCTTTGCTGTTGTTGTCAAGTGTTTTTGAGTCAGTTCTGACTCATAATGACCCCGTGTAGGGTTTCCCAGGAGCGGCTAGGCTGGTGGGTTTGAAGCGTTGACCCTGAGGTTCAAACCGACCTTGTGGTCCAGTGCTGATCCTATAGTGCCGCTCCAGGTCTCCTCTTGCTAGAAACCACTTAATGGACTACTTCTACACACACTGGGAAACCCCAAAATGTGTGCTTTATTGTGATATTCACTTTACTGGGGAGGTCTAGAACTTAACGTGTGACATCAATGGAGTTTGCCTGGGCATCTCTGTCCTGTCACTTTGCAGGTACTGACCTTAGCCAGCAACCCAGCCTTGCTCAACTTCACCGTCCTTTTCTGAGGAATGGAAATGCTCACGGCACTAGTGTTGCATTAAAGTATGATCACTCCCGTTCAGACCCATTGGTGGCTGCCATTCCATATCTACCTTCTCTGGTAACACAGACTGAAAGGTTCAAGGTTCGAATTCACCCAGAGAAGCCTCAGAAGAAAGTCCAGGTGATCTGTTTCTGGACACCCTATTGATCACAGTTCTACTCTGACATATGTGGGTTCACCATGAATCGGGTTGGACTGGACATCAAGTGGTGACCGAGGGATGAGGAGTCACTGGGGAAGCAGTTGTCCCTAGGAGCAGAGACATGCCAGTGAAGTAGAAGCGGGATTCCCTGGGGCCAGTGAGTGGGATCTCAGGATGATCCAGGGGAGCTGTGGACCAGGACAACAGGAGTACTGGTGACTCCATCTTCCAAAGTGAGTCTGACAAGCAACTTCAGACTTTGTGGGAGTGTGGACCGGTTCCTGCCAGCTGTTCCCTGGTTTAGCACAGTCGCCTCCCTTGGTAGGCAGGCTGTGGACAGTCTGGTGGGAGTAGAACTGCTCAGGATTTCTGCTGGATCCCCTGAGGGTTGCCAAGGTCCACCTGACTCCCACAGGTGAGCCCAGGGGGATGGGCCTGGGCTTCAGGTGTCTGATGAGACGCTATGAAGGAGCAGTTACGGGTGACATAAAGTTGTTGGGCCAGAATTCTGGAAATGACGACGTTGGCAGGACCCACGTTTCCTCTGGGAGGTTGACTTGGTGTATGAACGGCAGACTCGGGTGAAGACACAGTGCTGACTCTTAGTTTGTAGAGCTCTGTTACCGCCTGTCCTTCTGCAGGGAGGGTGGTACTCGGGAGGCAGTCTGGACCGATGCTGGGCAGGGAGGACAAGCAAGGGAAGTCTGTCTGAGGGCCAGGACTCAAGCTCAGGGGATGTCGTCCACCCAGAGAGGGCAGATGACAAGGCCGATACTGAGGGGTGAAGACTTGGGAAAGATCTCCTGGGCGTCATGCGTGACCAGGAGTGGGCACACAGCAGGCGGCTGGAGATCCTGTAGTTGCCATTTCGTTATTTTATTCCAGCAACACCAGTCTAGCCTACTCATTAGAGTCAGAGTGTTGCTCTAGTTAATAGACAGACAGACAGACAGCTGTTGTGGAGTCAGCTCTAGCTCACGCCGACCTCACATACATCCTCACAATCAACAACCCATCCTCGTGGCTCATCCCACCGATGGTCTTTCCCCTTCCCCTCGCTGGCTCCCCCTCGCTGGCTCCCCCTCGCTGTACTTCACCAAATGTGGTTGTCTTTCTTCCTGGCCCATCTTCATCAGGAAGCTCAGCTGACACGTGTCCACCACAGGTGACCCTGCTGGGATTTAAAAGACCCGTGGCCAAGCTTCCAGAATCACAGCAACACACACGCCACCACAGTACAATAGATGAGGGGTGGATCAACAACATGCAATATGTTGTCTTTATAAATCCAATGATGTAAAAAATATTCTAAGTCAGAATTATCTGCAAGTCCATTTTCTGCCCAGCACCTTGTAGGAGGTGAATTTTGTGGGTCACCTTAAAGGTCTGTGTCTGCCCAAGGCCCGTCCAGTTACGGTTTCCTTGTGTGAAGGTCATTGTTTCCTTCTAATTACATTTTCAAAAATGTACATTAGCTTGGCCTTGGATAACCGAAAAATGTAGGCATAACACCTCCTTCCTTTTATTGGCTTAAAATCATCGACTTTACCCCTTGGAAATATCATTAATGTTGTTATGTGTCCTTGAGTCCATTCGGATCCCAAGTGACTCTACAGGACAGTGGAGAACTGCCCCGTGGTGCTTTGTTCTGGGAGCAGATTGCAAGCCTTTCTCCCTTCGACCTTCTGGTGGTGAAAAGATCATAAAAGGTTTAAATGTGTTATATGCCATGCTATTTACTAGTAACACTTTCATTCTAAAAGGTTTTTTTTTTTCTTTTCTTTTAGGATGTCTGTTTTGACTGTTGTCGTCTTTTAAGAACTATCTTCACGGGATGAAATTGACAGGAGCAATTCAAAAGGTCAGATTGGAAACTTCCGGGGGCAGCGAGTTTATGTGAATGGGAAAGGCGCCATTTGGTAAACGAGGGTGAGAATGGTTGCATGGCTCCGAGAATGGAATGTGCATCATCGAATTGTCCGTGGAGAAATGGCTGCAGTCTGCACCTTTTGCTGTACCTGTTCTTAGCAGCAGCAACAGCTATCCTTGCTCCCGAGAGATTTTTTTTTTTATTTCCTTGACCGACTACTAAAATTTATGCTAACGGAAACACTTCTCTGTTAGACAAGGCTATTTGAGAGCCCAAGGCCTGTGTTCACTGGAGGAAGCTGCATTGTGTTTCTCACTGGAAAGACTAAGTGGACAGGAGTGTGGTCCTTCCTGCAGCTCGCTGAGCAGATTCGTGGGCGTGGCCTATTTCTGTACATGTCGTACAGGGTGGCTTGAACTCTCTGTCTGAGGCTGTAAGCGCAGTCGTGCACGGTGGCCTTGTCATTTCTGTGTCCTGTCACTGCAAGGCACCTTTCCCATGGCATTCTTGCAGGGGGTGAGTCTCAATCCCTTCAGGAATTTCATGGACGTTTATAAATGCAGGGGCTATTCACGGCCCTCAAAGGGCACCAACTGGCCCCCCTCGCTTCCACATGGAGAATCAACTTTTATCCCCATAATGAGGAAAGCCAGGCGTTTGTACTTTCACACGTGGGGGGAGGGAGGTGGGCCGAGGGGAGCGGTGAGGAGGGAGGGGGCTGAATCGTAGTGATTAAAATGCTAATGTTTTATTTGAAAAGCCAAACCTTTGATTTTTAAGAAAAGCCTTCCAAGACCAAGACGTTTAATTTCCTTACACGTTTGATGCTGCACAGTGTCGAATTGGGAACAAGGCACCCTAACCGAATCCTTGTCCCGTGGGATTCCTGCTTGGTTTTGCTGGCTATAAAGAAGATGTGCTATGGTGGCCTGAGCGGTTTTCAGAGGCTTCCTGGGGGATCCACAAGTTGTTAGACTTGACTTCCCTTAGGAAAATTTGTTTGTATTAAAATGGTGTATGTACACAGTTTTCAATAATAATACACCAGTTCCACCCTTTAGTTAAATCTCCAGTGGCATTCACACTTACGTTATTTTAAAAACTCACTGAGTAAATTCAGTGGTGACATGATATGGGCCAGGCACCCGTGGGACACAGTGAGGAGAGGGCGGGAAGACCTCAGCAGTCCTGGGCTGTAGGGACAAGAGTTGGGGCGCAAGGACTAGAAGGGATGCGCGTGGGGGAATAGCAGAGCCTCTGTAGGTAGAAGGGAGGCATGTGATGATGTGATTTTAGTATTTTAACTTTCTGTTGTGACTTGAGTGAACGTTTTCAGAGCAGATGGGTGTACCCACAGTTCATACACATCCTATTTCATGACATGGATGTCATGTAGTTTCCATCCCTCCTCCTGCCTTCTGGGCTTTATCTCTGGTCAGTGTTGCCCTTTTGATCGTGACTGATTGGTTAGGGAGCTTGGGCCTCCCCTGTGTGACTGTTCTAAGTTGAGCAGCGCGCCAGTCCCTGACCTGAAGAAGGGTGTCTATGGGTCACAGTGTCGAGGGTTCCACCAGGCTCTATCTGACCAGTCTTGTATGTTTGTGTTTGTGTGTGTGTGTAAGGATGTCTGACGCCCTGGATGGAAGCCCGTTAGTCCCTTCCTTGAGCTACTGGTTAAGTCCACACCCTAACCTCACACACTCACATCCCATACACCCTACTGCACCCAGAGTTACATATAAAACAGGCAAGGCAGCCCTCAGCCCACCCCCAGTCCATGAAATGATTCAAATTAGCCCAGTTTCGGGGCAGCCAAGGAATCTAGCTAAGCTCCCATCTAAGCCGACTCTCACAGCCCCAGTCTGGTGTCACCCGACACGATTTGACGTGGACTTCAAGGCCAGCCCTTGTGTTCCTGCGTGGCTTCTCTCATGGGGACTTTTCATCTAGGTTGGCGGTTTGATTGCACCAGTCTCTGCTGCTGCTCTGTGGGAGACAACTCCAGCACTTTGCTCTTGTAAAGTGTACAGCCTCGGAGGCCCTCTGAAGGGGCGGTTCTCCTCTACCCTCACGTTCAGCACAAGTCCACCTCGAAGGTCCTGGGTTTGTTTGTTTTGCCCTTCACCTGTCCAAGGGACCCCTCACTTATTATCCAAGCCTCATTGGGTGATGCGGAGTCGACTCCGACTCACGGTACCCCCTTGCGTGTCAGATCAAAGCTGCACCCAACAGGATTCTCAATGGCTGATTCTTTAGAAGTAGACCAGCCAGGTCTTTCTTCTGAGACTGCTCTGGGTGGACCTGAACCTCTAACCTTTTGGTTAACTGCTGAATTCTTTAATGGTTTACACCACCCAGGGATTCTCTCCATACCTCCTTATGTGTAAAAATGTTTTTATGTAAAATAATTTTTAGGCTAGAATATGTAACCTGCGACTTTACCTAGATTTAGTTGACTGGGGTGCAGGCCATGAATCAGTTAAGCAACATTAACGCAGTGCAGCCCAGAAACCACCAGGGCTGGGAAGGAAGCGTCCAGATGGCTGACGCTGGCCACAGAGACTACGTTACGTCCCAGTGGTGCTTTCCCGGCATTTCCACGACAGCACTAATGACCAGGGTCACTTTGTGTTGGGATCTATCCCAAGGGTGGAGTGGAACCAGAGTAATAGGATAATGGCTCCAGCAGATGCTGGGAGTATCTGAAAGACCAATTCATACCCTTGTAGATCAAGGCAGAAGATGGTGATGCTAATCTGCGCTGAACAACATGCAAAAGAAGTATGACATGTCAGGATTCGGGCAGAAGTCTTAGTCTAACATGAGGACATTTTGCTGTACATACGGGATTGATTTTTGTCATTGAAACCAATCTTGGGAATATTTTGGTTCCCTGTCACTAAGCAAGAAAATGTTTAATCTGAAGTCTTAGGGGGTGAAAATCAGGACAGAGATTTTGAAAATGTTCTTATCCTTTATATATCTTGCACTCAGGCGGATTTCCTGTCCTTCTGTGTTTTACCTTTCTTTCTGGAGACTGAAAGGCATGCCTTTGGACAAAAGACCATGATGGGGCCCCGAAATCCCCAGCCTGTGCTGGGCTGAGAGAGCGACCCCCCACTTCTATGTGTTCCCCCGGTACTGACCTTGGTATAATTTATTTCCTTCTTCCATCCCATGAAGAAAAAGGCTTGGGGACATTTTCCACCCGTCATCTTCCTCCTGTTCAAAGCAGAATACGATTTGTGTTCATTATGGGCTGAGTTTATCTGTAGAACCGAGGCAGTAAAAAGTAAGGACATCCTAATTACTAGGAAGTAGTAAAGATGGACCCTTGGGGTGGCACTGTAGGATCAGTGCTGGACTGCGAACCACAAGTCAGACGTTCAAACCCCACCAGCTGCTCCTCGGAAACTCTACACAGGGCTGTTATGAGTCAGAACTGCCTCAACGGCACTAAACAACAACAACAAAGGTGTTGTGGGTAGGGTATATGGTTTCTGAGTAGCAGCTGGTGGGTTTGAACCACTGACTTGCAGTTAGCAGTTCAGTGCTTATCCTACAGCACCACACTAGGACCCTAGGAAATTGTTGTTTAATGCCCTCGAGTTACTTCTGACTCATAGTGACCCTGTATGTTTCTGAGGAGTGGCTGGTGGGTTTGAATCACCAACCTCGCAGTTAGTAGTTCAGTGCTTATCCTACAGCTCCACACTAGGTCTACCTGCAAAAGCTTATTGTTGTTGTTGTCAGGTGTCATCGAGTCGGAACCGACTCATAGTGACCCTATGCACAGCAGAACGAAACAATGTCCGATCCTGGGCCAACCTCAGTACCGCTGCCACACTTGAGTCCATCAATGATGCCACCTGGCTGATCCATCTCATTGGGGATCTTCCTCTTTTTCTCTGACCCTCCACCTTACCCAGCATGACATCCTTCTCCAGCGACTGTTTCCTCCTGACAATATGTCCAAAGTATGAGAGACGAAGCCTAGCCATCCTGGCCTCCAAGGAGCACTCTGGCTGCACTTCTTCCAAAACAGATCTATTGGTTCTTTTGGCAGTCCATGGCACTTTCAGTATTCTCCTCCAACACCACAACTCAAAGGCATCAATTCTTCTATGATCTTCCTTACTCACTGTCCAGCTCTCACATCCATATGAGGCTATTGAAAACATTCACCGACTGAGAAATCCAACATAGGGCCACTCTGTGTTAGGTTCTCCTCAGTAGCAGGAGGCCTAGTTTTGGTTGGTGGTGCAATGTTTAAGTTAGCTGCTAACTGAATAGTCAGTGGTTTGAATCCACGCAGTGGTTCTGCAGAATCCCATCAACATGGCAGCCTGGAAAACTGTACGGGGCAGTTCTGCTCTGCCATTGAGAGATAGAATCATTCCTCAGCACCGAACAACAATAGAGAAGAATATGTTGTTAAATATCATTGAGTTGGTTCTGAGTAAGAGCGACCTTGTAGAGGGTTTCTAAGAAGTGGCTGGTGAACTTGAACCACCCGTCATCTTTCCGTGCTTCAAACCAACCTTGCAGTCCAGTGCTTATCCTACAGAGCCATACCAGGGCTCTCTCTATTTGTGTGCGAAATGTGGCAAGACATTTATCAGAAAATATTTGCCATTTAAACCATTTTCAAGTGCATAATTCTCTGACACGAACAACATTCCCCCACACCACCAACCGCCACCACTGTCTCTTTTGAAACGTAGTGGTTACGAATTAGGCTGCAAACCTTAAGGTCAGCAGTTCGAAACTACCAGCTGTTCCATGGGAGACAGATGAGGATTTCTTCTCCTGTAAAGATTTACAGCCTCAGAAACCCTGTACAGGGTCTCTATGAGTCGGTTCTGACTCCACGGTTCCGACTCCACGGTACAAAACCACCAGATGGAAACTGGGTACTTCTTAAAACTTGACACAAAAAAAGGCTATCACATGATCCTAGTCTCAATTGCCTCATCTGCATTTGAAAGGTAGGCGGTGAGTAAGGAAGATAGCAGAATTGGTGCCTTCAGGGTTACAGTGTGGCCCAAGAATCTTGAAACTATCACAGACAACAAACAAAGCTATCCTGGAAATGAGAATGTGGGATTTCATCTCATGTACTTTGGACATGTGGCCAGGCGGAACCAACCCCTGGAGAAGGGCACCATGGCCGGTAACGTAGAGGCTCAGCAGACAAAGAGGGAGACCGTCAAGGAGATGGATTTTCACAGTGGCTGCAACCAGGGGCTCAGGACAAGACAACAATGATGAGGACAGCACAGGAGTGGACACTGTCCTGTCCTGTTGTGCAATGATGTTGCTGTTGAGTGCCATCAAATCGGTTCCGCCTCATAGTGAGCCTGTATAGTGTTTCCAGGGAGCAGCCTGCTGGATTTCCTGCCCTTGTGGTCTTCAGTCCAGGCTGATCCTATGGTGTCACACCAGGAGTCTAGTATTCTTGATACTAAGTGCCATCGAGTTGGTTTCGACTCATAGGGACCCAGTATAGGTTTCAGAGGAGCAGCTGGTGGGTTTGAACTGCCGACTTTGTGACAGTCTAATCAAGTCACTATAAGTTGGAACCCACTACAGGGCACCTAACCACCACAACAAGAAATGTCTTGGCTACGTGAATCTGCCAAGACACAAAGCAGATTGTTGGTTCTTAGGGGCTGGGGGACGGGGCAATGGGAGTAACTGTTAATGGGTGTCAGGGTCTTCTTGGGGGGCATGAAAACATTCTGGAACTTGGTAGAGGTTGCACACCATTGTAAATAGGTGACAATGCCACCAAGTTGTACACCTTAAAGCGTTTCATTTTACATCATGCAGTTTGACCACATTAAAGACATACTTGCTCATTCTTGGCCTTAGAGTCTTTGTTTAGCTAATTTAGCTAATATTTGTCTGTCTACCTATCTGAGGTCCTAGTCATTCATTTTTGCCCAAAGTGCTGGCTGCGTCACCCTCGTTCACTGCTCTCCTTGTGATCCTCTGAGCTTTAGCAGACTTAATTTTTTTAGTGCAGTTCTAGGTTTGCAGAAAAATGGTGCCAAAAACAGAGGATTCCATACACCCCTCTGCCCCTGGGCTGCACAGTTTCTCCTGCCAGTCACATCTTGCATTCCTGAGACACAAAATTGAGGAACTAACACAGATACACTATAATACATTGTTATTCACTCAAAACCGTGCTTACTGTAGGGTTCTGTGGTGTACAGTCCTGCCAGCATCCACCAAAGTGTCATGTCCCATGTCCACCTTCACAGCATCCTACAGAACACTTCCAGGGCCCTCAAACAGCCCGGGGCTTCACCGCTTCATCCTCCAGCCTCCCTCATACCCCTCCTCCTGAGCTTCTGCCAACACTGAATGGCTCTCAGCATCCCAGCAGTTTGGTCTCTTCTAGAATGACAAATAGTTGTTATCAAACAATGTGGGATGTGTTCAGACTGACTTCCTTCCCTGAGTCATATGCATTGCATTTAAGGTCCCTCCCATCTCTTCCTGGTTACACAGCTCCTTTCTTTTCATCACCTAATCCTGCTCTGTGGTACAGATGACCACAGCGTCCTCCTTAGGGTTTGGGCCATGTCTGCCACCCCCTAGGACCACCCTTTCTTTAAACCCACTCACGTTGGCATTCATGTTCTAGCAAAGGGATGAAGGACAACCCCTGAAAGGAGAGGCGTGGCCTGGAGTGCCCTGTGGCCTCTCCCTGTGTGCCTCATGTGATGAGGAGGGTTTCTAGGTGGTGGAATTTCAACTCTGCACATCATGGGATCATGTCTGCATTATAACATGATGTGCATGGTAGCCCAGGGGCTGGAGAGCTCTCAGAAACAGCCATGACTCTGCTCCCTGATTGTTGATGTTGTTGTTGTCAGGTGACCCCATGCACAGCAGAACGAAACAATGTCCGATCCTGGGCCAACCTCACTACCGCTGCCACGCTTGACACCATCAATGATGCCACCTGGCTGATCCATCTCGTTGGGGGTCTTCCTCTTTTTCTCTGACCCTCCATCTTACCCAGCATGACATCTTCTCCAGCGACTGTTCTCTCCTGACAATATGTCCAAAGTAGGAGAGACGAAGCTTAGCCATCCTGTCCTCCAAGGAGCACTCTGACTGCACTTCTTCCAAAACAGATCTATTGGTTCTTTTGGCAGTCCATGGCACTTTTAGTATTCTCCTCCAACACCACAACTCAAAGGCATCAATTCTTCTATGATCCTCCTTATTCACTGTCCAGCTTTCACATCCATATGATGTTATTGAAAATACGATGGCTTGGGTCAGGAGCACCTTAGTCCTCAAGCTGACATCTTTGCTCTTCAACACTTTAAAGACATCTTGTGCAGCAGATCTGCCTAATGCGATACATTTTTGATTTCTTGGCTGCTACTTCTATGAGTGTTGATGGTTGGTCCAAGAAAAATGAAATCTTTGACAACTTCAACCTTTTCTCCATTGATAAGAACGTTGTTTATTGGTCCAGTGGTGACAGTTTTTGTTTTCTTTATATTGAGATGCAATCCATACTGAATGCTATGATCTTTGATATTCCTCAGTAAGTATTTTAAGTCCTTTTCACTTTCAGCAAGCAAGGTTGTATCATCTGCATATCGCAGGTTGTTAATGAATCTTCCGCCAATCCTGATGCCATGTTTTTCTTTGTATAATCCAGTTTTTCAGATTATTTACGGACCATATAGGTTGAACAAGTATGGTGAAAGAATACAACACTGTTTCACACCTTTCTTAATTTTAAACCATTCCATTTTCCCATGTTCTGTTTGAACAACTGCTTTTTGGTCCATGTACAGATTCCTCATGAGCACAATTAAGTGTTCTGTAATACTCATACTTCACAATGTTGTCCATAGCTTGTCATGATCCACACAATCGAAAGCCCTTGTATAGTCAATATAGCACAGGTAAACATCCTTCTGGTATTCTCTGCTTTCAGCCAAGGTCCATGGGACATCAGCAATGATATCCCTTGTGTCACGTCCTCTTCCAAATCCGGCTTGAAGTTCTCTGTCAATGTATGCTTGCAGCCATTTCTGTATTACTTTTAGTAAAACTTTACTCGCCTGGGATATCAAAGATATTGTCTGATGATTTCTGCATTCCATTGGGTCACCTCTCTTTGGAATGGGCACAAATATGGATCCTTCCAATCAGTCGACCAGATAGTTGTCTTCCAAATTTCTTCG